CAGCCGGTCCACTAAAAGGTCAAGCAGTCGCTCTTAGATCAGCCTCTGACCTCTCTGTGTTCTATGGCTGTGGCTTCGAAGGATACCAAGACACTCTAATGGTCCACTCACAACGACAATTCTACAAAGAATGCTATATCTACGGCACCATAGACTTCATTTTTGGTAACGCAGCTGTGGTCTTCCAAAACTGCATGATCTACGTCAGAAGGCCTCTAAAGGGCCAAGTGAACGTGATCACGGCCCATGGACGAAACGACCCATATCAAAGCACAGCGATTTCGATCCACAATTCTCAAGTCCGGGCCGCGCCTGATCTCAGGCCCGTCGTCGGCTCCTTTAAAACGTACTTGGGCCGGCCCTGGAAGCTCTACTCTCGAACCGTTTTCCTCAAGTGTTATTTGGACCGCTTGGTGAGCCCTTCTGGATGGTTGGAATGGGACAGGTCTTCTTTTGCGCTCAAGACGTTGTACTATGGAGAGTACAAGAATTTTGGGCCTTCTTCTAATACAAGACGGAGAGTCCAATGGCCCGGTTTCCACGTCATAACCAGTTCAAGTGTGGCGTCGAGGTTCACCGTCGGTAACCTCATTGCCGGCAAGTCGTGGTTGCCGAACACTGGTGTGCCGTTCACGACCGGACTTTGATCACGTTGACTTTGAATATTTATATTTGTTTATGATTCAAATATATTATTTATTTGTTTGGGCAAAAGCATAATTGGGTTGGTGATTAACTATTGAATTTTTGTACATTTTTTTATTTATGTACAATTATTTTTAGAGGAAGATATGTTATGTATTTATAATATAAATTGAATTATTTGATGTAAATTAATTGTTTCTTTATTTTAAATCTGAACAAAATGGCGGGTTATACATCTAGGGTCTTTCGATTAATTAGCAAAATCGTATTCCTTCAAGATAAGATATCACTTCCTCGCTGTGAGATTCACGTACGGCACTGTATTATTGGTAACTTATGTACACTAAGGCCAAAGTTTGTGATTATATTTAATAGTTCTTATGTCTTGAATTATGTGTCCCATATTTAATGTCATAGTTAGTGGTTTAAACCTGTCGATTATGGATATGATCAAGAATGTCTCAAGATAAGATGATCTTCTATAAGTATATGCATAACAAATTATAAATTGGTGTACTCTGACCATTTCATGAGTTTCCATTTTTGACCTATTTAATTAAGTCTCAAGGATCTTGTTACTAATTCCGTCTTTACCAAAACAAACGAACAAATAAAAGAATGTATAGCTAGTGTAATCATATTAGATTAATGAGAAGATCAATCTAACACTCCTAATTAGATTAATGAGTAAACTGCTCATTGATTAGTATTAACATTAGGAGCTTTACACGTTACTGGTTGGCATCTGGAGAACTTGAAGAAGATTATTATATCCAGGATGAACATAAACTATAAAGCATTATTGATATTTATAACAAATCAATGAATATAACATACAGGAAAGGCCTAAAAAAAGAAATAACTTGAGGCATGCGCATCACATCAAATGAATCGAGGGATAGCAAACCGGCCGCATTATATATACAATAGTTGTGATGCATCATGCATATATAAGCAAATTGAATAGCGATAATTGTAAGAAAACGTAGAAAATTAATATAAACTGGTTAAAATCTTGCTAGATTCTCGGAAATAAATGGATTAATCCACATATCTCTCACGATTTGGACAAATACATATTAACATTTTCGATGGTCATGTATATTAGTGTATCTGTTGGTAAAACTCTGGAGTCGATCTTTTACGTTTTAGTACTAAAATTATACTTTGGAACTTGGAAGCATTTTATATAGAAACAGCATCCTGCTTTCATGTTTTTCTCGAATTAGAGTCGTGAAAAGGTTGAGGTTTCTAACAATTGATGTACTGTCATGCGGAAAATAAAAATTTCGTCAGGAAAAAAGTTGTCCAAAAAAAAAAAAAAAAGAAGAATAACAAAAGCGAAAGTCATCACACGGATTAAAAATATCGCAACTATGCTCCGGAGAAAAAAAATTGAAAAAAGAAGAATAACAAAAGCGAAAGTCATCACACGGATTAAAAATATCACAACTTTGCTCCGGAGAAAAAAAATTAAGCCTATCATTACGTGAAGTCGTGAAGGTCAGAACTATATATTATATGATATCGTATCCAGCTAATTTGGCGCTGCAATATTCTATATTTCTCTAAATTTCATGATTCTGGTTCATAACATATTGTTAGATCCGTTTTTTACAATTATTTTATCGAGCTAAATTAATAGACTATAAAAGCTATAAACAAATAGGCACAAAGAATTTGTATCGCAATTCAGTAACCACCTACATCAGCGGGGTCATGCCCAAACAGTGAACAATCCACTAAGTATAAATGATTACAATCACCAATCAGACTTATACACTCAAAGACTCTCTCTTTGACAATATTACTATTGTGTCGAATCTATTTGATGGCCTTGTTCAGCGAGCACCACTTATCTTCAAACTCTGCACGGTGAAATCCCTTCAGTTGGCAGATTGCACTCTCCCAAAAGCTTTAAATTCTTCTCCCGAAGAATGATAAACGGTTGAACTCCCTTCAACACTGCAAACATCTTCTCTCAAAGACTACTACTTCTCCCGAAGAATGATAATGGGAATTTTTCAAAATAGTATGCGTTAAAACCCAGGAAGCCCGCATAATGAATGATCTTAAGTTCTATTTATAGAACTTCTATTCCTTATATGTAACTCCTTATTAACGTAGGACACCATATATAACCTATTAATTTATGCATATTTCAAGAAGGCACTAATACTGAAGAATAAATTTTATCAAAAAATTTGGATAAAAAAGTGAAGTGCAAAACCTCTTAAGTCGAGGATGTGAGATAGTGAGTTTCTTACGGGGGCAGTCTGAGGTTAAGGTGTAGGCGATTCCTTCACAAATACTATCTTTGAAGTTGTACTTTTATCGGTGTATCTAAGGCCTTGACGATCATTGCTTTATTTTCCCCGTGAATCTTGAAATTTTCCAGATATTTCAAGAAGGCACTAATACTGAAGGATAAACTTTATTGAAAAATTTGGATAAAGAAGGTGAAGTGCAAAACCTCTTAAGTTGAGGACGTGGGATACTGAGAGATAGAAAGAGAGAGGGCTGCCCCTTTGTTGGCTTTTCGAGACAAAAGCACTCATAGGAATGGTGCTAATTCCAATGTTCCTTGCTTGAGGAGCAGCCCGCAAAAGGGAAAGCCGTGGAGACGGCAAACTCGCCAGTCAGGCACACCGTGAGGCTGACTACAGCATACCGGGAGGTTACAATTCCTGTTTTCCTATTTCAATTTCCGGGAGTGAATGTAGGAAGTGCAGACGGTGGATTAGGTGTGAACATTCAATCAAAGGCGCCTTTGAACTTGTGCTTTCACCAGTGTATCTAAGGCCATGACGATCATCGCTTGATTTTCCCAGTGAAAGAATGTGATCTAACTTGTCCGTTCCTGAATTCAACATCTTCAAATTTTTCTGAGTATTTTCCAATTTAGCCCTACTCTCTTGCAATTTCTTTTCCTTCTCAGCAATAAAGAGATCAAAATTAATAGCGGCCCTTTTCAACACATCTTTTTTTTTTACAAGTTCATCGACTTGCACTTATTTATTGCGCACACTTTAACCAACTTACTATGTATGGTTTTGTATTCTTCCACGATGATTTTATCAATTAATTCTTCACCATCACTACTGCAATCAGATTCGGATTCAGATCTGTCATCTTTTCTGTCACAAAAATATGTTGCAGAACTTGTTGCAATACTGTATGCAGCTTTTTTAGCTGAAACTTCCCAATCAGTGTAGACATTAAAGGCAACACAATTACTCACATGATCTTCATCATCCTCATCATCACTCTAGGTGGCATTGAGCGATTTTTTCTTCTTTTTGAGGGTATTGACACACTTGAATTGAATGTGGTCATAACTGTCACATTCCCGACATTAAATTCATTTATTCTTCTTAACATCACCAGCAACGAGAACACTTTTATTTTTCTGGAAATTATTTAATTTTTCAGAATTTTCTGGTTTAGACCTCTTGTTAATCTTCTTAAGAATTTTATCAAAACTCTTGCACAACCGAGTAAGTGATTCGGCCAAATCTTCATCATCATCAGATTTATTCTCTTTGGGGGATTTTCGGACTTCGACTTATAGAGCAATACTTTTATCCTTATTGTTTTGCGTCAAGTTCATCTCAAAAGTTCGCAAGGACCCATTAATTCATCTAGCTTCATTGAATCCATCCGGGACTTCTTCAATTGCGGGGACCTTGTAGGCAAATCTTTCAGGTAACAATCTCAGGGTCTTCCTCACCAATCTTTTCTTAGAATATTTTTCACCATGAGCAAATACCTCATTAGTAATATCACATAACTTAGAATTAAAATAAAAAATGGTCCCACTTTCAAGCATTTATAAATTTTAAAACCTAGTAATAAGGATTTTAAGCTTCGACAATTTGATCGCTGTAGTTCCTTCATGAGTTGTTTGTAAAATATTCCAAGCTTCCTTGGCCAATTCACATGTTGAGATAAACTTGAATTGATTGACCTTAATTCCATTAGATATAGCATTCAGGGCTCTCGAGTTGTTGTTCGCCAATTTATCTTCTTCAGTCAACCACTTCTCTTCACGTTTCATAATTTCTTCTCCGGCTTCATTCTTCGTGGTAGGATGTGTCCATCTAGTTAACACAGCACGGCAAACCTTCTCGTCAATAGCTTTGATAAACGCCTTCATCCGAGCCTTCTAGCATGAATAATTAGACCTGTTGAGTAGTAGAGGGCGTGTAACTTCTTCCTTTAGAAAATCCATTCCTGCTATTGTAGATCTACTCCTAAAATTTCACCGAACTACGGTTAGTGACCCACTCTGATACTCCTTCCCATTCACTTTATCTGTACCCATTATCTCCGCGTTTTGCTTCTTTAGATAAACCATCTAATTAATTCTTCACGTCACACTTTGGCTTGTAACTTCACATTATCCCTCACGTTGACTTTTGTGGATAAGCCATACAACTTCAAATCATTTATATAAATAAATGATAGATCTCTGCAGCACACTTTTTAAATTTCAAACCAAAACATATCTTTTATCTCAGCATTTATATCTTGAAATCCCACATTTAAAATCAACAGCACTTTCAAATATCTCTTGAATTCAAACTTCATTACTGCTGCAACTCGGTTAATCTTCACCTCGGCTTTTCTACATAATCTTGAACCTGTGTTTTTTTTTTTTTAATTTTAAACGCTGCCAATAAATTGTCAACTAAAAAAACCCAACATATATATGTATGTATGTATAATAGAAAATGGTCTGTCTCATGCTGCGCATTCAACTATATTTAAATAAGAAATCTGACTTTTCCTTTTTTGGTTGTCGCTAGCTAGCAATAATATATATTTTTATACTTTTCTGGAACTTTCACGACGCGAGTAAATTTATCACCGAGAGATTTTCATTACTCATTTTTTTAAACAATTATTAGTCGCTCACTAATTAACAATTAAGAAAACAAATTTCGTTTCCGATTGTCACAGTTACACATATATAGTCGTCATCTCAGGCAATATTACAATGTAGTCGAAATAAATATTAACTTTTATATTTCACAGATAAGATGACGTGAAACCTTAATTAGTGTAACTTGTGTGTGTGTGTAAATGTAAAATATTATATATATATATATATATATAAAGGAAATAATGAACTACAGATCATTAAACGTGAACTAAAACCACCAACTAATAAAACAACAACATCCTATGGTGATGCGAGCTGTTTCCGTCGAACAATCAACGCGCTTTGTATAGCCGCTTAGAATGTTCAAAGTCAACATTCTATATTTAGAATAAAATTAGTCAGACATCTATCTATTGGCCAGATATAATTCCCTCTCCTGTATTTTATTAAACAGATTTATGTTTCTCTCTAATTGGGAATAAAATTCATGCATTACTGAGCTAGACCTTATATTATTTAAAAACCCTATAGTCAAAACACCAACTGTTATGACAGGCGGCCAACAAAAGATTGGAGCTGTGAAGATTGGTTAATTAAATACCAGATCGTGGTTTTTTATAGTTAATATAATGTAAGGGTAGATTAGTCATTTTGGTCTTGTTGTTCTGAGTAAACTGTTAATAAAATTTCCTTTTGAGGTTTCTCCGGTTTTCGGTGTGGTTGTTCATTAAACTTCTGCTTTGGATTCTTGGTTTCTTTGGTCATTTCAATTCGTATTTAGGTCGAGCTTTTACACCTGCTTTATCCAGCACACGAAGGGAGACACCAAAGATGACTTTATAATGTAACCGGCATAATATAACGACGACTCTTTTAGCGCTGAAACACGTTGTGAGTTGCCATTTCAAAAAAATAAAAAAACAAAAAACAAAAAGGCTTCAGAAATACTAATTATGTCTAATAATTTAGCCTCTTTTGCTTCTAACTCGGGTTATTGTTCGATGATTTGGTATAGATTATTAGTTCATACAATCTCTAAATTGAACTGTACGTATATATGATATGACAATATGCAATATTATTCTCCAAAAAATTTAGCCTTTCACGATCGACTTGCCAAAAACAGATATCGAAAGCTAAAGAGTAAAGAAATGAGCACACAATAATGTAATAACCTACTAGTTCCTTATAATTCTAGTTTTTAACAATATTCCCTAATAATAATATAGTTGTTAGACATAACTGATAGAAAAATACTTACTGGCATCATCGGTCTAAGCACTATTATTAATACAACGCGAGTTCTACCGGTGGTCCCATAATGCAGGACTCACTTTCGGTTAGTAGTGGGTGATACGCAACACCGGATGCCTAATAGTAGTGTTCGAATTAATACATAAGAATTTACCTTCTTTTAAGCAAATTATAATATAGGCAGTGTCCTGGTCAAGGTTAAACGGCCGTCTGTAACCAAACGTTTCCGGCATTATTAAAATACGACTCAATTGTAGCACATCATACAATCATTTGTCTCTTTTAAAGGATATCCTTTCTTTCCACACAAAGAATATTGAAAAAAAAAAAACAAAAAACAAAAAAACAACAACAACAACAATTGTATAGTATATGATCTGAAGTCTGAACCCTCATATCGATCTTCCAATTTTATATATATTCATTAGTTTTTACTCTGATCTCCCTCCATTTTCAAAACCAGCCAACCAGCTGTCACCACCACATCCTCATCTTCAACTCGCCTATAGCCCTATATAAACACACGCCCTTCTCAAGGTCAGACACTTCACAAGCAACCAAAGAAATCTAAGGAAACTCCTCCACATTAATGACGAAAAATCTTGGGTTATTCGTTCTATTCTTATCCTTCAGTTCATTGTTATCACTGACTCTGTCTAGTGTTCACTCAAACGGCATAGATTGGTGGTGCAACAGAACCCCTTATCCCGAAACTTGCAAACAATCGTGGAGGGACAACGATAACCACCAAAAGCTCTTCATCCCAAAACTCAAGGCCGACTTCAAGAAACTAGAACTCCAAATCTCGCTCAAACAGGCGCTGAAAGCCGACAGCCACAACAAGTGGCTCGGTTCCAAGTGCCGAAACGACAAGGAAAAAGCTGCATGGTCCGACTGTTTGAAGCTCTACGAAGATGCCATTCTCTTGCTTAACAAAACCCTAGACCCCTCTACTAAGTGCACCGACTTCGACGCCCAAACATGGCTCAGTACCGCCCTGACCAACCTCGACACTTGCCGCGCCGGTTTCGTCGAGCTCGGCGTCTCTGACTTCGTGTGGCCTCTTATGTCCAACAATGTTTCTAAGCTCATAAGCAACACTTTGGCAACCAACAATGCCTCAGCTCCTCCGGTGACGAATGCCTATAAGGACGGTTTTCCGATCTGGCTCTCGCCGGGGGACCGCAAGCTGTTGCAGTCCTCGTCGCAGTCTCCGAACCTAGTGGTGGCGAAGGACGGGTCCGGAGACCACGAGACAATTAAGGCGGCGTTGGACGCGGCGGCGAAGAGGAGTGGGAGTGGGAGGTTTATTATTCATGTGAAGAGAGGCGTTTATAATGAGAACCTTGAGATTGGAAATAAATTGAAGAATATCATGTTGGTCGGTGATGGACTGAGGTACACTATTATCACCGGTAGCCGTAGCGTTGGAGGCGGAGGCTACACTACTTTCAATTCTGCAACAGTTGGTAAGAGACTTTTATTATTGTTATTATTTTTTTGATCATTTCAAGTTACAATTAATCATATTACAATCTTATAAATCATTTATTTGGTGTCTTAATCATGCATACATATTTGTCTCCTGACTCCTATTCTTAATTGAACTCCCTTCTATCTTTTTTGTTTTTTTTTTTTCCATGCTTGGGGTTTGACCAGGGAAATGGACATGATCAATTTAAAAATGTCGTGATGGCCGTAGTGCCAACTTTATTTTGTTTAATGTGTTTAAGCTGATAAAAAAAACTTTAATTTGTTTAAGATCTTTTTGTGTCAGTCTAGTCATATCCATGTGCAATTAATTATATCCTGAATCCTCATCTACAACCCAAAAAATAAGAATTATTCAAAGCTTTGAAAACTTGATGTACGTCACTAATTTCCCCAAGTCAATTGCTCGATATTTCAGCGGTAACCGGCGAGGGTTTCATCGCCCAGGGCATCACATTCCGCAACACCGCTGGTCCCGAGAACCACCAAGCTGTGGCCCTCCGGTCGGGCGCCGATCTCTCCGTCTTCTACCGCTGCGGCTTCGAGGGCTACCAAGACACCCTCTATGTCCACTCCCAACGGCAATTCTACAAAGAATGCTACATCTACGGCACCGTCGACTTCATATTCGGCAACGCAGCAGCCGTCCTCCAGAACTGCATGATCTACGCTCGGCGGCCGATGAGCAAGCAGAAGAACACGATCACCGCCCAGGGCCGCACCGATCCGAACCAGAACACCGGCATTTCGATCCATAACTCGCGAGTCATGGCCGCGGCGGACCTGAAGCCGGTGCTCAGCTCTTTCAAGACATACTTGGGGAGGCCGTGGAAGCAGTACTCGAGGACTGTGTTCATGCAGACGTACTTGGATAGCTTGGTGGACCCCGCGGGGTGGCTGGAATGGGACGGTGATTTTGCTCTGAATACTTTGTATTATGGGGAATATAGGAATCTAGGGCCGGCTGCTTCCACCAGCAGGAGGGTGAAGTGGAGCGGTTATCGAGTTATAACTAGCTCGTCCGAGGCTTCGCAGTTCACCGTTGCGAACTTCATTGCCGGGCAGTCGTGGTTGCCGGCAACCGGCGTGCGGTTCACTGCTGGCCTGTGACATATATAATATAGTGCATGTATATCATCTACTTATTTTGGTTGTGATTTGTTAATTTGATAACGATGGCTATTTGTTTTTTCACTAATTTCGTTAAGTGGTTTGGCGAAATGTAATATGAAATAATGTTGTTCTTTTTCGCTCAACTAGTGTTGTAAGAATTGTAATATAATTCATTTTTCTCGCGTGCACCTTGTAAAAATTGATTGAGAATGGGAGAGAGAAAATTTGCTTTCCATTGGGAAGGTTCTCTTTTGCATTAGATATGATTTTCAAGCGACAGATTGTGGCTCATTTTGAGGGGATGCAGATCTGATTTATTCTCATTGGAAATTTAAGTTGATAGTTCACTATTTTTATTGGTAATCCGAATGGGAGCTTGTAATTTATAAGACCATTTCTATTACAATGCTATAATTAATGTGTCAATTGATAATGCTATTTGTTGTGTCAAATTTTTCATATGTTATATTTTGTGACAAATTTCTCATTAAGTATAGAATATGATAAATTTGACATTTGATTCTTTTTGGTTGAAATGTTTACTTTTTCCATGTAATTGATGCATCTTTTACATTTTTAAATTATTTTAAAAATAAAAGTTTACTTTTACAACTTTCAAAACTTAATAATTATAAGAAAAAGTAGATTTAATATTTTAAATAGCATTATATATTGGAGTAAAAACAAAAATAACATACTATATCATAATTTTTAATGTTAAATATATAATGTTGGTTTCCGAATCGAATTCGGATGCGGAAGCGTGGGGGAGGCGGATCAAGTATAACAAAAATTTTTCTAAAACTTTTGTGATACTCTATAGATTATATTAATTTATGCACGAATAAATTAATCATATTAATTTATTTATTAAGAACTCAATTAGGGAAAATACCTGGAGGGCGATTAGGACGATAACTTGAGTTCTTTTGATCTCGAACAATCTTTGCTCCAAAGCCTTGTGTTTAGAAAACCAAAGTCTTCCACGTCAATTCCTTGAATCTACGTAGACGTTTGTGCGGGCACACTTAAGACAAAATCGGGTTGGAACAAACACTCGAAATTTCCACAAACACCAACGCATGCACGGTGTCGAATTTTTTGGGAGAAAATTTTCTTTCTCTCTCTATTAGGGATTTCGGCCAGCCCTCTCAAAATTAGGTCAAAAAATTGTCATGCGCAATTTTATCATGTCTTATTTATAGAGTAGAAGTCAAACTTCTAGAAGGAATCCAATCTTTATCTCCTATTTGAATTTGGAACAAAAAATCTCCTCTCCTTTTTCTCAATGTGGCCGGCCATATGTAGGGTTTTCTATCCTTGTGTGTGGTGCCAATTCCAGATAGGGAAGGAAGAGAAAATCATCATTTATCTTGTAGTCTAATTTTAATTCAAATTTAAATTCGAATTTAAGTCAAACTTAAATTAATTTGAATTCTAAATTGAACAACTTATCAACTAAGTTTAAAAGGATAAATTTAAATTATGTTCATAATTCAAATTCAAATTTAAATAATCACATTATTTAAATAATAATTAATTCTCAATTAATTATTTTTTAGTATTTAATTTTTAGAATTCCGTAATTCTAAAAAAATCATTTTGCCATTTGTGTCTGGCAGAATTACAAGGATGACGCAGGGACTAATGGACCTATAATCCCAAGCTCCAATAAAATTAATAATTAATTAAACACTTTAATTAATTAATTAATTCTATTAATTCCAATAGTTACTTCACTATGAACTTGGAATTGCACTCTCGAAATTATAGACATTAATTACTTCTAAACTGTGAAGTGCCCATTTGATATAGTCATTGCATATAGATCAATCCTCCATAAATAATTCATAATTAGAGCCAGGTAGAACCTGTTAACCTCTCTAATTATATCTTCATCCTTGAGTACCATTGATTCTCTAATGGATAGTGATTCATAAAACACATTCATGAACCAGAGCGCTCTTACTAATTCAAGTACCGAATCAACACTCAAGAGAATTATTTATCTACTTATTTCTCAAGAAGGAATGGATTCCATCTCGTATAATAACATTCCCGGCTACCTACTTCATTATGTCTCTAAAATACAAGGAATAGGATTCAGGGTCTCAGAATCCGTACCGAGTAAATCAAAATATACAAATCCATAAATAGAAGTTTGTTAAGAACTCAGGATTAAGATCATTCTATATATAACCATCGGTAGACTCAATTAGAATTTCTATACTTAACGGAAATTATTAGAAATTCGTATTGTGTCTGTGTCCCTGTTCCACATAATCTCATTATGCGAAATACACTCATTCAATATCTCACCATATTAACAATGCAGATAACACCGTTCCATTCTAAATGGGAATGACATGTATTAATAATGTTTTAATTTAAAGATTCTGAACTTTAATTAAATTCATTATGAACAATGTTTTTTATTATTATCTTTAAACTTTATCCTCTCATATATAACACTTATATACAATGTTTAAGGTTACATAAATAATCATGGAATTTTCATTTGATATTCATAAATATATGCACATAAAATGATGAATAAACTCTTTTATTAAATAAATAATAAATATCATATTACATCTCATGCTTCTAAGACACCATTCTCAACATATAATTGGCATTAACATTTACATTAGAGATGGTCTGATATCCATATGAAGCAATTTGATAGTGTTTGTCACCAATAAAGTTGCTCTCTTGCCGCTGCGTACCAACTGGATGCAAACACATTATCGAACTACGTTAAATTTTTATGGTCTTTTCATGTTTTTATTTATGATCTTAGAGTCGGGTATTTCCTTTGCAACTTTTACCCTCTATCAGAAAGGATCAATATTCTTCCATTCTTCAAGAAATAAAATAGTTGCAAAATAAGTCATGATAGCTAGTGGTGACCTTTTTTTTTTTTTTTCCTTCCTTCGCAGCAGCATATAATCAATAATATCTACCTCTGCAACGTCCTATATATCTCTGGTCTTAATTTGCCTCCAGAACATCTCCCTTCCAGACGTAAATTGTAATTTCCATTTTGTTAGACGTACGCACGATGAATTTGTTGAGATGACTATGAAATTAACAAAATGATCTTATACGAGGGAATTTAATTAGTGCATTCTGGAAAATGAAATTGAAGATAGTCGTCTAAGACCAAAAAGCTGCCAAGAGAGTGGATCGAGAGGAAAAGACAGAAATGGAGCTAGGGTTTGAGATAGAGAAGGAAGAGAAAGTGTTAAGGAAATTGCCATTTCCATGACTCACCTAATCCTTGCCTCCATTAATTTCATCTAAATATTGGACGACGACGATTTGTCTGTTATTTCCGTTTTTATTCTATAGTGTAATGAATCAAACTTAACAACTATAATTAATTTGATAATAGTTATTAAAGCTTTAAATGTTATGTATGTTCATTTATTTCTTTTTTAACTCCATTATTCTTTGGAATAAATTTATGGAATTTCTTGGATATTCTTGGACTATTAAAAGTCACAAAATAAAACTTCTATTTACTTAACTTACCAAAAACTTCTCCCATCTATTTTTGTTCCCTGAAAAAAAAAATGTTATTATCTCCTTCTCTCCCAATCTAAAACTATTGTTAAGTTAGGAGCACTTTAATGCCAAACAATTGTTAAGTTAAATTCTTGCTAATAGAACAAGTTTTGGGGAGAATTGTTGAAATATGATGAAATCAACCTCATTCTTCATTTGCATTTATTCATTATACTTTTCACCAAAGAAATGGGTAAGTAATTATTGTTAGAGAATTTCTGCCGCACGTATGAAACTTTTTCATTGTTCGGTGGAGTTGTTATTTTAATTGTTGGATTAATTTTTCAATAGCTTGATTAATAAGTGTACACGTTTAAAATTTTCAACAGGTAACGCAAATTTATTCTCAATTATAGGTCAAAGTATTGAAAAATTAATCAAACAATTAAAACAATAATACCTAGTGAAAAATAATAATTTCTTCCATAAGAAATTTTCAATTAATTATAATATTGTATTGTAATTAAGAATATAGTCCTACCGATAATTTCAGACTTGAATTTTTCTGTGCAATTCGAATCCCTCACCCTTGAAATTAAAAGAAAATAATAATAATAATAAACAACTGCTTATTATTTAGTCTTGGATACCATACGGAGCTTGTCTTTCGACATGACTAATTTATGTACATCAAGATAATGGGCTAGCAGGCAATTATTGCTGCTCATGCATATATCCCATGCCAAAATTTATTCAACATATTCATAAATGCACTTCACTTTTTATTTTATCTGTATATCAGTAATTATAAGTTACGTGAAATATTATATCCAGTTAATTAGTTAATTAGATAATCCTACTGATCATTACAGCTTTGATCACTCTTTCAAATTTAAGCTTTACTGCGGTGTCGCACTAGTCATTAGTATTTTATTCCTCAGATCGTAACTATAATTAGCATTATATAATTATTTCTTAAACTAAATAGGAAAATCTTTTTCTTTTTTTTTTGTAAGAGATTCACAAATAACAACATTATGCGAGACTTATTAAAACACAATAATGGTTTGAAACATTCTCCACTATATATAAGGGCTAAGACGACGTTGTTAATTATTACTATAAACAAGTTGGATTCAAGAACAAATTAAGGATATTTACAAGTGGGTAGGTGGGGCTGTCCCAGGATATGTGTATACGCATGTGAGGAGAGCTTTTAACGAGGAAATGCTTGAGCACTTTATGCACAAACTTATCATAAGCGTTTTAACCTACATACTATAGGCTGCATGCATATACACACACACATATATATATGCACAAACTTATAGGCCAAATCATAAGCGTTTTAACCTACATACTATAGGCTGCATGCACACACACACACACACACACATATATATATATATATTGGCCAGCCCATGTCCTTGGACCTGAAAAAAAAAATGAAATGGAATATATGATGGCAGAGTGGGAAATTAAAAAGTCAT